AATGACCCCCCAATCATAATGACCCCCATCCTAATGACCCCCCAGGGACCACGAGAGGGACCCGAGTACCATGAGCGCATCTCTTACCAGAAGGGAAATGCTGTGATTCCAGCACTCCGGCTGATCCTCCAGGAGCATGATGGTCGCCGTCACCTCTCTCTGACTTTTTCTGAAGGACATTCGGCTGACGGGACGTCCAGGCTCCAGAATGACAGCATACTGGAAAGAGACATTCCGGGGCCCTAAGAGAGAGGAGGCAAAGTGACCAGGGGCCCTGAGAGAAAAAAAGCTGTGACTCTCTGTGACAGCGAGATCTTCCGAGGCCCTTAGAGTGACTAAAGGAGAGTGACGGGGGCCCCTAGGCAGACTAAAGGAGAGTGACGGGGGCCCCTAGGCAGACTAAAGGAGAGTGACGGGGGCCCCTAGGCAGTCTAAAGTAGAATGATTATGGCCACTAGGCAGACTAAAGCAGAGTGATGGGGGCCCCTAGGCAGACTAAAGGAGAGTGGTGGGGGCCACTAGGCAGTCTAAAGGAGAGTGCTGGGGGCCACTAGGCAGACTAAAGGAGAGTGCTGGGGGTCCCTAGGCAGACTAAAGGAGAGTGCTGGGGGTCCCTAGGCAGACTAAAGGAGAGTGCTGGGGGTCCCTAGGCAGACTAAAGGAGAGTGCTGGGGGTCCCTAGGCAGACTAAAGGAGAGTGCTGGGGGTCCCTAGGCAGACTAAAGGAGAGTGCTGGGGGTCCCTAGGCAGACTAAAGGAGAGTGCTGGGGGTCCCTAGGCAGACTAAAGGAGAGTGCTGGGGGTCCCTAGGCAGACTAAAGGAGAGTGCTGGGGGTCCCTAGGCAGACTAAAGGAGAGTGCTGGGGGTCCCTAGGCAGACTAAAGGAGAGTGCTGGGGGTCCCTAGGCAGACTAAAGGAGAGTGCTGGGGGTCCCTAGGCAGACTAAAGGAGAGTGCTGGGGGTCCCTAGGCAGACTAAAGGAGAGTGCTGGGGGTCCCTAGGCAGACTAAAGGAGAGTGCTGGGGGTCCCTAGGCAGACTAAAGGAGAGTGCTGGGGGTCCCTAGGCAGACTAAAGGAGAGTGCTGGGGGTCCCTAGGCAGACTAAAGGAGAGTGCTGGGGGTCCCTAGGCAGACTAAAGGAGAGTGCTGGGGGTCCCTAGGCAGACTAAAGGAGAGTGCTGGGGGTCCCTAGGCAGACTAAAGGAGAGTGCTGGGGGTCCCTAGGCAGACTAAAGGAGAGTGCTGGGGGTCCCTAGGCAGACTAAAGGAGAGTGCTGGGGGTCCCTAGGCAGACTAAAGGAGAGTGCTGGGGGTCCCTAGGCAGACTAAAGGAGAGTGCTGGGGGTCCCTAGGCAGACTAAAGGAGAGTGCTGGGGGTCCCTAGGCAGACTAAAGGAGAGTGCTGGGGGTCCCTAGGCAGACTAAAGGAGAGTGCTGGGGGTCCCTAGGCAGACTAAAGGAGAGTGCTGGGGGTCCCTAGGCAGACTAAAGGAGAGTGCTGGGGGTCCCTAGGCAGACTAAAGGAGAGTGCTGGGGGTCCCTAGGCAGACTAAAGGAGAGTGCTGGGGGTCCCTAGGCAGACTAAAGGAGAGTGCTGGGGGTCCCTAGGCAGACTAAAGGAGAGTGCTGGGGGTCCCTAGGCAGACTAAAGGAGAGTGCTGGGGGTCCCTAGGCAGACTAAAGGAGAGTGCTGGGGGTCCCTAGGCAGACTAAAGGAGAGTGCTGGGGGTCCCTAGGCAGACTAAAGGAGAGTGCTGGGGGTCCCTAGGCAGACTAAAGGAGAGTGCTGGGGGTCCCTAGGCAGACTAAAGGAGAATGATGGGGGCCCCTAGGCAGACTAAAGGAGAATGATGGCCATGATTTCAGCGACTTGCTCCGGGGATTTACCTCCATTCGGTGACACTATGACAGCTACATTCACAGTCACAGTTTGGAGGTGTCACCCGTCACACACCACGATTGTTCCGGGGCGCCGGGAGAAATGACTCCACTGATCGCCAGGAGATGATACATGGGATCGGCTGATGCCGGTTGTCACTGTTCTGGTCACAGACCTCCCACATTGGGCTCTATGTTATCCCCAATCATTTAGGAGAACATGGCCGTCTCCAGTGGGTACCCCTCCCCCCCCCCCCCCCCCCCCCCCGCGGGGCCTTCTCCGCTGTGCGGCGG